GATATAGATGAATGTCCATTTTGTATCTGTGTATTCAAAGTGGTTAGGATAGATATATAGTTACATTCTCTTAATGAATAGAGGGATTTGTTGTAATAATGTTTGTAAATAAGATGTCATGTCTGCATCTTGTACAGCAAATAACCACTAGGAAAAGAGTATGTAATGTGTTAATTATTGAAACTGTCCTACCAATTTGATTTGAAACTGTCTCATTGCTATTTGTTTCTCAATAAAATTATGGGAAAATAAATAAATAAATAAATAATTAACCAAGAAAAAAAAAAGACAACAAGCATTTCATTGTTTCATTAGTATTTCAGTTCTGGTTTTTCCTCTTCATCTTCCTTAAACCAGTCCTTCTGTCTACCCAATACCAAGCTCAGGGGCTCAGTCCTAGGCTGCATGCTCACACTGACTGCAAATGATTCCTGACCTGTGAGCATGCAAACAAAAAGCATTTCTGTTCTTTTTTCTTTTCTTTTCTTTTCTTTAAACTTCCTGCAAAGCTTTATTCCCGAAGGCCTCAGTCCTTCTTGGAGCTACCTTCATCATGGCGACCAGCACGTTGCTCAGCTCCTCACGCTTCCTCTTGGCATGGATGTGCATCCCCACCCTTTTCTTGATAACTTGAGGGCATGTTTGTCCTTGGAGACTTTGAGCAGCTCCATGTCGCGCTGCTTGTAGGGGGTGAAGCCACACACCTCCCGGATCATGTCCCACATGAACTTGGTGTGTTTGGTGAGGCGTCCACGACAGCAGCTGTGCTTGGTTTGTTCACATTCTTAGTCACCTTGTGGCCCTTGTTGAGGATAGCAGAGGGCCATGGCCACTGTTCTTTGATGGTTGCTGTGGTGGAAGGCTTTCTGTTGTTTTCAGTGGTTAATTATATGATGGATGGATTAAGACAGGTAAATAATTAACCATATTTATCTGTATCTTCTAATCTCTTCCATTGCTCCTTATGTCTATGTTGTTGTCGTTATTGCCAGCACCATGGTGGTTTTATCATAGTGGTTTTGTGGTATACTTCTAAGTCAAGGATTGTAGTGCCTCCTGCCTTGCCTTTGTTGCCCAGGACTGCTTTGCTACTCTAGGTCTCTTCTGGCTCCAGGTAAACTTTAGAAATGTTTTCTCTAGCTCTGTGAGGTATACTAATGGTATTTTAATCAGGATGGCATTGAATCTGTGTAATAATTTTGGGAGTATGGTCATTTTCACAAAATTGGATCTTCCTATCCAAGAGCAAGAAATATCTTTTCTTTTTGTTTTTTGACATCCTCTTCAATGTCTTTTTTTCAGAATACTATACTTTTTCGTGTATAGATCCTTTACTTCCTTTGTTAGATCAATTCATTAGTATTTCATTTTCTTTGCTGTTGTTGTGGAAGGCATGGTTTTCCTAATTTCTTTCTCAGTATGTATGCTGTTATTGTACAGGAATGTTACTGATTTTTGAGCGTTAACTTTATATTCAACTACAGACACTCAGCCACCTTATCTTTGACAAAGGAGTCAAAGAAAGACAGCCTCTTTCCTAAATAGTGCTGGAAAAACAGGCTTTCCACATGCTGAAGGCTAAAATTAGACCCATGTCTATGACCATGCACTGAAGTCAGAATAGAGCAAAGATTTAAATATAAAAATATA